ACAGCAAATTCGTTCGTGATAATCTAGTACTTGTTGATACATTTGCATTATCTCTGGGATTCTCAGTTTGTACTATGATTCAAACATTCCTGATCATCACATTGGTGTCGTGATGGAGCCTGTGATGGAATGGTTGAACATTCATTCAGATTTTATTGCTTTTTAGGATCACCTGGAAAGGTTCAAAATCTGGGCTATGACCAAGGAAGATGATGAAGATGTTAATAGTGTGTCACGTTTCCTTAAATTCATCAGAAATGAAGCTTACAGCTTACCAAAACTCTGGCCTTACCACAAAAGCCTATTTCGCTTCTTCATGCAACTCACAAGTAACTACTGCTACACTATGTTAAGTACACGAATTTCGAATGCGGTGAAAGAGGGAAATTTCATAAAATTATTCATTAGGACATCAAAAATTCTACTACACAACTATGTCATCCCTATCCAGCGCGCACTCGCGTTTATGCACATAATTCTCTGAGGAGTTGCCACGCAGTTCACGAAGATAGGAACAAGTCTGGCCGATCTTTGTCCTGTGGCAGGTTTCACTCATTTAATTCATGTGTATTTCGTAATTTTAAATGCTTTAACTGTGATGAGTTTGAAAAGATTCAGTTAGTTTGTTATACCACGGTTCATTCGGCTGCAATTAATGCTTAAATTTGTAGTTGTGATTTTATTAAGTTGGGTGTTTCTAACGGTCATTAATTTTTATGCATGACTTCGAAAACCGGTATAGAGTCACATAGCAGACCAGAGTTATGTGAAACTCAGAATTCTTGTGAGACAACAGTTTTGAATAAATTCACTTATCAGATTTCTCGTGTTGTTATACCAGATATGGTTTCTCCTATGATTCTCATATTTCTGATGAAAATCCTTAAAAATCCGAAGAAAATATGTTGAGCGAAAGAATTCATGATCAGAAATTTGGCGTACTGTTAATAAATGCTGATTTTTCTAATAATCCTTTATTCTGAAATGATATTCTTAATAAATTCGAGGAAACTATTTCAGAAGAATCAATGCTTGATGTCATGTCAAATATTATTTGTCCTCATAATGTATTTGTTTCTTGTGGGAAACTTGTTTAGCACAAAGCATGGGTACTAAATGGGCTCGATTTTCATTACAATTCGGATAGTTTGATATCAACTGCCGTTTATCCTTATCATGAAGTCATTTCTAATGCATACTCTGGTCAATGAGCGAAATATGTTTTAAACGAAGTTACATAATCCATAACTTGGGAATATGAAGATCCAAAATTATTTTATGGGGGAGGATAGCCTTTGAAAAAATATGATTCAGATTCTAGATATCAGTGGTTTCAGTACACAACCGACATAGTGATTGTATACAATTCCGTTTCAATTGCATTTGTTAATTCTAATAATAATGAGTACATTCTAGATCATGCAGATTTTACATCCAATACACAGTCGGACAGACACGATGAATCTAGGAAGAAGAGGCACAATGGATTGCGAAAATTCGGATTCTCATTTAAGCTGTTGCGGATGTGGTATTTGTATAAACTAACAATTCCTCTGTACTTGTTGAATGCTTGTTTTCAAATTCTAAATACGGTACATTCGTTCATGATTATCCAGTACTTCTCTATCTAATTGCGTTATTTCTGGGATTCTTAGTTTGTACTATAATTCAAATACTCCTAATTATCATAGTTTCTCCGGGTGGATTATAGGTCATGCAGTCGTTAATGTGTGCGTACATAAGGTCAAGACCAATGGATATGTCGTTAGGGAACCTCTGTAGAGTTCGGTCAGTGTATTTTATAGTCTAATAAGCACGATGATGGCAGCTTTAGAGTTGTCGTATACAACCATGGGGGTTCGGTTATGTCACATTCAAAGGACGGTAGCATCTTACAAGGTAGCTGAAGTGCTTTCGCTACAATAGATCACTGCATCAACACAATGTATTGCGAAACATTGTGCTTTGTACAAGGCGGTTTCACGCTCGGCACACTCACTAAGTACTGATCGAACTGTGAACAGCCTGAAGCCATTGATTTTATAAGAATGCGTGATTCAATGTTACCGTCCACCATCTTCTTTATGGTTGAGTCAATGATCAAGTTATGACATTTTAGTATGCCCATTTCAGCGGTTGGTTATCGTGACAGACAGCAGTAGCTGTTGACGAGTGCCAGCTGTTGCGTCATCAGCTTTGAGGATGGGAAAACTGAAAGGCCTAATGAAATGTCTGAAATATTTGTCATGGAAGTTGTGGCCTCAACACCAATAAGCATTGTTTATTTCTCGCTGTCTGAAAACTGATCTTTAATTTAGTGGGATTCTAGGGGTACTTATTGGCCGTCTATGGTCAGAGTTCTCTAAATTTGAAGCAAGATTGTTCCAAAGATTCCTAGTGCTCTGAAGATTCGCCCATAAATTCGGTAGGTTTAACGCACCTGGTAAACGTTAGCGGTAGTATGTTCGTTATTATGAAAAACCACTGAGGAGAGTCGGTCAGGCCATGCTTGTGATAATGAGCTTCTGCATGGGTGAAGTAGACTTATAGAGCTAGGACAGAGTAACAGGTGCTCAGTTCTTAGTGGACACTGGAGCAGAAGTAAGCGTTGTGCCTCCAGTGAGTAACGAAACGCGAAATATTAATACAGCGCTAACGCTTAAGGCAGCAAATAAATCCGATATAAAAACATATGGCAAGCGTAAAATAACCTTGAACTTTGGTCGTAGCACTTCATTCCGCTGGGAATTCGTCATCGCAGATGTATCCGTACCTATAATTGGTATTGATTTCTTAAAGAATTTCGACTTACTAGTGGATTCCCGACAAAACCGGCTCGTGAACGGAGACCATTCAGTAGTTATAAAAGGAGTGACAACCGATTACGTATCCATGAATTTAGTAGTCTCAAAAGACAAAAGCGAGCCATATAGAGCGCTTCTAAATGAGTTCACTGATTTGACGAGAGCATCATACGATAACAGAGATCTTAAACACACTGTACAGCACCATATTATAACGAAAGGTCCACCGACCAACGCAAGACCACGGAGGCTAGACCCAAATAGGTTGAAGATTGCGAAACGAGAGTTCGAAAAATTGATGAAGCTTGGTATCGTAAGACCGTCTAATAGTCCCTGGGCATCCCCGTTGCATATAGCCAACTATGTACAACGTCTAAAGCAACATATGGGTGATCTGAGGATAGCGCTTCCGAGGCAACAGCAACATCGTGTCTACATGCCAAAACGACTGACCGATAGTACCCATGTGTTTATCAGAAGGGATAATGTGCAGCGTCCCTTACAACCGGCCTACGATGGTCCATTCAAGGTGATTAAAAGAAACGATAAAACTATTACGATAGAAAAAGCTGGAAAAACGGATGTAATTAGCATCGACAGAGTCAAACCAGCTTTCATCGAAACCGACGATCAGACAGTATATACAGATACTTCGAAAACCGTCGAACCACCGAAACGCGAGTTCCAATCACCAACGACATCGACCAACACAAACGAAGAAAATCCAGTAACGACGAGATATGGCCGAAGAGTGAGATGGCCGCAACGATACATAGCTACGATTTTGAATTGATAATTTCTTTCACCTCTTCGAATGTAAATTTAATCTTCATTTTCTATGTACAAATCGAAAATTTTAGCTTATCTATTATTATATTCAACATATTTTATGTATTCTTCCGATCTTCCGTTATGATCTTATTGGGCCTCACGGACATATGCCAACTCAAACTTACACATATTTTTAATAACTTATACGATAGTTCTATCATATATCTTAATTTCGTAAATTTCGATATTTCCCAACTTGTTAAATTTGACATTTTTTTTCGCAAACACAGACACTTTTGTATCTTTGTTTGCTGGGAGGAGCTATTATAGCAACTCACGTTCAATTGAGTGTGCTCTCACCTAATTCAGTTAAGCCCTTTTATTAACTTATTAAACGGACAAAGTCACCTGCACTATAATAACTTATGGTATCCTTATTACTGTTGCGAATGTATGTACCTTTATTATTGTTATCCTTGTATGAATACGTATGCTCGGCAAGCCTTACTGCCTACGCATTTATTCACGCTACTAGCTTTACTATTAACCGCTTAATTGACTCGATGATTCATTAATTTCACTATGTATATATATGTCCATGTTATTCATATTCATGACTCGCTCGCTCGTCCATTCACTCGCTCGATCGCTCGCTCTTGCCCTTGCTCTCTCTCGCCCGCTCGCTTGCCTGTTTGCCTTTCGGCACAACTATTTAATGCTTGCTTAACGCATCTGTAATTTTGGATATCTGTGTGTGGTCCCTTAATAAACGTAATTAACGCTTCGTACTCGCCTTCTGATTAATATACCGTTGGAGCATTATTTGGTGACGGTTACCGAGACGTACTGTATACGGAATTTAAGGAATATATCGAACACCGACCAGCACAGGTCAAAATATCAGAGTGCACGCGACCCAACCTGGTTTATTGTCTTAGAACATAAACAGTACGGTGTATAAAAGTGTGTTTTCGTGTGGAAGTTTGGCCGAGAGACCTGATTCAGGGTAAATAATTATTGCCAACAGCAATGTCCAAGACTTACGAAATTATTTTGAGGTTTACTCATCACTATCTAGGTGATTATCGATATTGGTAGATATAACCCTTGATTTTATCTCGGAGAGGTATCGATGTTGAAGGTAGCTATTGAGGAAAAATCACCTCAAGTGATCTTCAATAATAGATCCAAAGTTAAAAAATGTCAATGTGAAAGTTGTGAATTTGTGTAATTCCTTGCTTAATTTATGAATACAAAGAAAATAAAGAAATTCAAAGATGCACTGTTATTTGTATTTTTCTTCAGGATGAGTTAAGTCATTACGTTTGTTTAAATCTTTAGAGAAACCTCAATTGTTTGTAATTTTTTTAAAAGACATAACGTGTTATCAAGCCTAAAAACTGCTCATGGACTTTAAGATTACTGATGAGTCTTAACCTGTATGAAAAATCACGTATTAAAAATCGTGCAGGTCAGTGTTTACATTTTATGCACTCGTTTTTCAAATTTTTTCATACATATAAATACTGAGGGTTCAAAGCTAATTAACTTTTTGAATTATGATTATTTTTTAAAATTCTGTGATCAAGAAACAAATTTCAGCTGATAGGAATTTAAAAATGTTGACGTGTATTGCGTTGAAGTGATAGAAAACATATTATGTGAATTACTGATTTTGAAATCATTATGTAAAACAGTCGTTATACTCAGATAAGAATATGCTCTATATATTCTGTAGCAGCGGTTATTATAGCAACTTATTTTGTATCAACGTTTTCAGTGCAGGTTTCAGAACAAGCAAAGGACAAATTTGAATGAACATAGTAGGACCAAAATTATATGAAACTACGCCACTAACTACATTAATTATCAGTTTCTATAAATATGCATTTGTGAACTGTTTATCTTTGCTGTCGAGAACTCCTGTGTTCGTGATCTACGATTTAACGATTGTATAAGTAAATTTTACGAGTTCTTTTTACTTTTTGCCATTTGGAGACCTACTTGTATGTCATTTCGAACTTTCACGAAGTTTTTTGAATGCGATATAAAATACGTATATTAATTTCTGAGGAATATCACTAAATTATATGGTTAGTATAGGCTTGAACATAGTCCATTAAATAAGCAAACCCTCGTTATTTTTGTACGATCATGATTTGCAGGATAAAATTTATAGTAGCTTTGTTTGGAATCGTCCCATAACTATCAGTAGTTATCCATCTTTTTTTAAGACTTATTAGTCCATTTTGCAGATGATAAATTCATTCCCAAAATGCCCGCACACAGGAAAAATTGCGCTGTAAACCACTTTTATCCGGTTAAATATAAATTTTAAGTCAAACTGGAACTAGATATTGTTACCACTTACGAATAGAAGCAAATAGTAGTCATCAAATAATTCATGTACTGTCAAGCTTCGGACGTCGTACATGAAGAAAACAAATCAGGTTAAGAGTAAATAATTACATAACTCAACGTATAAAGTTTGCATACTGTTTTGTCAAAGGTTCAAGAGCTTTGTAAAAGTACTGCATTTGCACTACTATCTTCCACTTGAACGATATGCCATGATAAAAGTGTTCATATGGCGTCAAGTAAACCACGTAAAAACTAGGAATGATTTACGCTTGATAAAACAATGTTCAATACTCAGGTTTCTGTTTCACTTTTACATTGACAACCTCGACTTACACAGTTTCTTAACATTGTGTATGGGAGCGTTCTAAATTAAAATGAGGTGGATAGATCTGTTAAAAATCGCAGCATAATAATCTACGATTGTTGATAGAATAAAACTAGTAGTCTAAAATGACTAGTGTGCAATGTCAACTTATATAAAATTGTAGGTCAACTAGGCTTACGCGACTATTATTCAGATTAAATAAAAAAAACGTTAGGAAACAGAAATAATACCGTAGTTACAAACAAAATAAAATCCCTGATTTAAGAATACGTAATAGATAGAATGACATAAATGAAGTAAAGAATGGTGAAAATTGGTGATCGCTAATAGCAGTCTTCGTGCACTTGTTAATAGGATTATTTTATTAAAGTAACTTTAAGTCATGATAATACAAGTGTTACCAATAAATTTTAAACTTATTTCGCCACATATTGAAATTATTATTGAGATGGCAGGGATCATTTGTAACTTATGATGAGCATGTGTTGCAATCTCTGAGCTAGGTGGATTGGTTATAAAGCTCTTGTTATTTTGCACGATACTACTAGCACACAATCCAAAGATAAGTGAGCTACTAGAATTTATCGATAACTGACAAACAGTTTGTTCTGTTGACCTGAAATCTTATTGGTTTTATTCATAGTAGTTTGCCTCCATTTATACTCTTCTTTTTGTCATTTTTGTTTTTGACTCAAACTCTGACTTTATCTTTGTTAATACTTACTCTTGTTGACCAACAAATGTGGTTGATTTTTATATGTCCATCGATCAATACTTCAATGGAGTGCCAGGCTTTCAGAAACTTCTTGAATTTCCCGGTGGTTAATCCATTCAATATTCCTAAATTTTCTCAATAGGACTCATGTCTGCAAATCTCAACATGGATTGATCTGAGTAAAACTATATCTTGTCATATTGTAGCCAACTGATATTTATGCAGACGCAGATAAAAAGGGCAGCTATTTTTTCTATATAGTATTTATTGCAGTCGCTGGCATTTAATTTTTAGTTGGCGTCTGGTTTTTCTTTTGTTTGCAGGGATTTGTTTGGTCTATGAGGTTTACCTGTTACTAGCGGTTTAAATCATCTCTTTGTAATATTAAAGACCGTATTTATATGGGGTAAAACTATTTGTTTGCTGATGTTTGTCGTTGATCGTGAATTTAACCGTCGGTATTTTAAGATTTCTTTGATGAAACTTTAAAGACAGTTACGTTTTCAAAATATATCCACCAAATGTTTTCTGCAACGTCGGCGCTGTTATGTGTTTTCGTTCTTTTTACAGTTGACCATGGTAACTCAAGCGGTTGGACAAAATAATTTCGCTCTGGAATCTTAATTCATATAGCTGTTAAGTAAAATTTTTGGAGGGCTCCGACTCTGGCGAATTTAAGCAATATGTAAACGTAAGCGACCGATTCATACCAACTGTATGACTCAGTCATATTAAATGGGCTATAAAATATGTTAAACCACTATAACTACACTTTTGCTTAACTCTTCTGAAAAATAATTATGGGCACAAAAACGCGAATTCTTTGAATGTCCATCAACGTAGCTTGCTTCACAACAGTAGTTAAATTTGTAAGCGATAAACAATCTGTCAGCTGTAGAAAAATCATCCTTTAATCATAGAATCTCTATTTGATCAGAAGAAAGTGTTTATCGTAATTTTAATGACTTGAATGCCCTTTGAATTATTTTTCGTAACCTCCACACTAACATTTTGGTTGGCACATCGCTCACAAACAGCTATCGTACATACAGTCATTTTTATAATATTATTCGTGATTTCTTACGCCTTATTTTCATAGTTGTGGGTTGTTTATTAACGTCTTTATAAACTCATTTTCCCTTGGAGTGTTGTGCAAGTAGTTTGATTTTTTTGCAACTGTATTCAGAGAGCAGATCGCTTTTATTCAGTGGTGAAAAATCTTTTCCAGAATTTTTCGATAATGTAAAAGAAAAAAACCTAGAATGCATTTACATTGGTCGGTCCAGGTACACTTTGTTGTTTCTGTTGGTTTTTAATAGTCCATCTACTCTCTTATTAAAACATCTAGAAAGACTGCTATATCTCCATTTAGCTCTGATGTGAATTTGATAGATCGGCTAACTTCACTAGCTATTTGTTGAAGACTAAGCAAAATGGGTCAGCTATTTTCTTTATAATCAAACATTACTGTAAACTGACGTTTCTGAATGGTTTTATTTCACCTGTGACCTAAAACCCTTTTAAATTAAGAAAAGGTCTTATAATACTGGGTGTAATTTGAATAGTTGATGTTTTAGCAGGCATGTTACCTGCAGAAGCATGGAGTAATTTTCAACATATAAGTGGTTTGTTGTCTGGTTAATCGATACTTATAAACTTTGTAAGTTCAGATCTTTGGGAGGGAGAAAATTATTTCAGAGTTTTTCTCATTTTCGCACAATTAACTTTATAAGAGATTTATCTATAATATAAATGTAGAAAACTGGGCATCAAATACTTATTTTGTCTCATTTTTATGTGGTTTCTGTACTGTAATCATGTATGTCATTAGATCAGTCAGCTAACATAAGTGAAATAAATATGATTATTAGAAATTATTTGGATAAAAGTAGTCCAATAATCAAAAACTATTACCAGCTAACAAATTAACTAAATAACCACAAAATAACCGGTTATTCTTTTAAAGTTTACGTTTGTGTTTTAACTTACGAAATTTATATTTCATTTATTACTTTTCCAATTCACCAGTAAGGCATATTTGAGGGTAGATTTAACTGCTTTAATCAAGACATTTTTAATATTAATATTGACAGGTTAATTGTATAAAAAAAATGATTAAAAAGTTACTTACTTACTTACTTACGCCTGTTACTCCTCGTGAAGGAGCATAGGCCGCTCACCAGCATTCTCCATCCAACCCTGTCCTGGGCAATCCTTTCAAGCTCTTTCCAGTTCTTATTCATCCTTTTCATATCCGCTTCTATTTCCCGACGTAATGTGTTCTTTGGCCTTCCTCTTTTCTGCTTCCCTTCAGGATTCCAAGTTGGCGCTTGTCTCGTAATGCAGTTTGATGATTTCCTCAATGTATGTCCTATCCATTTCCATCGTCTTTTCCTACTTTCCTCTTCCGCTGGAAGCTGGTTGGTTTTCTCCTACAAAAACCTGTTGCTAATGGTATCCGGCCAATGGATGTTGAGTATCTTGCGTAGACAGCTATTGATAAATACTTGTACCTTCTTGATGGTGGTTGTTGTAGTTCTCCACGTTTCAGCTCCTTACAGTAGAACTGCCTTGACGTTCGTATTGAAGATTCTGACTTTGATATTGGTTGAAAGTTGTTTTGAGTTCCATATGTTCTTCAGTTGAAGGAATGCCGCTCTAGCTTTGCCAATCCTCGCCTTGACGTCTGCATCTGAGCCTCCTTGTTTATCGACGATGCTTCCCAGGTATGTGAAGGATTCTACATCTTCCAGAGTTTCGTCATCAAGAGTGATTGGATTGCTGTTCTCCGTGTTGTGTTTGAGGACCTTGGTTTTCCCTTTGTGTATGTTGAGGCCTACTGATGCAGAGACTGCTGCTAATCTGACTGTCTTTATCTGCATTTGTTCGTGTGTATGTGATAGGAGGGCTAGGTCATCTGCTAAGTCTAAATCGTCTAGTTGGTTCTGAGCTGTCCATTGTATGCCGTGTTTTCTCTCAGATGTCGAAGTCTTCATAATCCAGTCGGCCACCAGAAGAAAGAGGAAGGGAGAGAGTAGACAGACTTGTCTTACTCCGGTCCTTACTTGGA